GTTACTAGTACTGAACGTAAACAATCCTTAAAACTCTGTCTCCATGCTGACAAGGGCTCTCCCTCCCCTCCCCCTGTGCAGGCAGGAGCCAGGGCAGGTGCTGGCTCTGCTCGCTGCTCCGGCTGCCACCGCGGAGGATCCAGGTACCAAAGTGGTGGTGCCGGGGCACAGCAGCACGTGTTACATGTAGGCACAGATGGCACATGGACGTTGCCAAAGGATCCAGATCAGTGTCCTTTCTCCTGGCAAGAAGCTCTAAATAATTTTTGAGCTGTTTCCAATTATCATATTAACCTGGGAGAGTAAACAATATCATACTATCAGTTAGACCTGGCATAAAGAGATGCTGCTGCTCCCTCTGCAAACCTGGTAACTGTTTAAAGAAAAAAAAATAAAAATCTGCTTCAAATAGACCTTAAGCCAAATTAAATGAATAGTATGTCATATCTCAGCTGGACGAATATGTTTATGATTCTGCCTTAGTAACACATTCCTCTAGGTGTGACCAGATCCGTGGAATAAAAAAAATAAAATGGTACAGTTACCCATGTTCAGAGCCCACACGTGAATAGCCTGCAGTTAGAGAGGAGCTGAACATCCATCCCCTCATTAACCCAGCTCAGTGTGCTACACAACTTCCTGCCTGCTCACATGTTAGTGATGACATTATTTTTGGTGATTATCTTCTGCTTTAGTGAAGGGAAGGTCACCCTCCTTTCTTGACCACTCGCTCTCAGGTTAGTAGTAGTTTTACAGCCCTGGTTTGCAGCCTCTGGCTGGGTGAGCTGCAGCCGGGGCTGCCGTTCATTTTGTAGCCAGAAAGGAGCATTTCCAAGAGCTGTGTTGGTGCACGTGGCACATCGCTCAGCGGTGCTGAGCCATGAGGACGCAGCTGCAGGGAAAAGCTTCCCAGACACGGGCACTCAGAAATGCCCGGGTGGATGAGGGCGAGGTGGAGCTGCTGAGCCTCCCGGGGGTCACCAGCGGGTACTCGGTGCTGCCTTTGCTGTCCCTGCCCGGGCGGGAACGCGCGCGGGGCTCGGGACTGCGGGATGCGGGGCGGGATGCGGGGCGGGGGGAGAGGGGAACGGGGAGCGGGGCAGGTGGGTCCGGAGCGTCCCCCGCAGGTCCGTGTGGCAAGGTGGGAGCTTCCCGGCGGGAGGAAACACCTGGCATTCCAGAAGCCCCGTGCGCGTGTGGCAGGAGAGCAGCGGGATTGAGAGTCCCTGCTTGGGAAGAGCAGCTTGGATTGCCAGCTGATGTCTGGCTGTTTGCCAGCCTTCCATGCTGGACGGTAAGCAGTGCATGTGACATAAATTCGAAGTTGCAAGGTGCAAACCCATCTGGTTTTGTGTTCTGAACAGGGGCAACGAGCGGGTACTGGGTGCTGCCTTTGCTGTCCCTGCCCGGGCGGGAACGCGCGCGGGGCTCGGGACTGCGGGAGCGGGGCGGGATGCGGGGCGGGATGCGGGGCGGGGGGAGAGGGGAACGGGGAGCGGGGCAGGTGGGTCCGGAGCGTCCCCCGCAGGTCCGTGTGGCAAGGTGGGAGCTTCCCGGCGGGAGGAAACACCTGGCATTCCAGAAGCCCCGTGCGCGTGTGGCAGGAGAGCAGCGGGATTGAGAGTCCCTGCTTGGGAAGAGCAGCTTGGATTGCCAGCTGATGTCTGGCTGTTTGCCAGCCTTCCATGCTGGACGGTAAGCAGTGCATGTGACATAAATTCGAAGTTGCAAGGTGCAAACCCATCTGGTTTTGTGTTCTGAACAAACACTTCTTGAGAGTATGGGCACTGATACCAGGTTCTCCTGTCATTGTTACCGAGAAAGTGTGGAATGCTCTGATATGTAAATGACAGTGAATTATTGACCCAAGGTGAGTTTAGATTTAAAAGTAAAGAGTACTTGGTATTGCCTTTGAAATAAAGTTACTTTTTTTCCAAATAATTTCATTCTGTTACTGATTTCTGTGTTATAAGGTCTCAATTGGACATTAACCTTTTTCTAAGGGTTTGGTTGTTCAGGGGTTTTCTTGTCTGTTGAAATCTCTTTAAGGTAAATTCACATTTCAAAATGCAATACTTGACTGATGTATTCTAGGAATTCCTCTCTTGGTGCCAGTTTTGGTGTCTCATGCTGTTCCATGTTGTATGGACCCAAACCAGGGAGGGGAAGGCCCTTCCATAAAGGTTATACAGCCTAAGGGAATGCTGTGCCATGAATGAGGAAAGAGGGAGGCTGGGAGTGTCAGTGATGGGAACAATTGCTTCTAAAGACAGTTTTTGGGCACAAATTGAGTTTCAGGTTTCTTAAAAAGATAAATAGATGGGTGGTTTTAGTGAGTTTGTCATATAAATACAATGCAAACTATACCTGAGCTTGAGGTCTTGGCAAATCACTGGTTTAGCTTCCAGCCTTGAAAAGTCTGGAATCTCTGCTCAGTAAACATAGACTTTTCCAAGCCGTGGTGCTGCCAGCAAGCAGCTGGTTATGCTGGTGTCTGCTAGTGTATGGTAAACATGTTCAGAAATACTTCCCAATCTGCAGGTAAACCTCAAACTGTTAGCAGCACCAGGTTGTACGGCACTGACCTGGAGGTGGTAGTGTCTAATTGAAAGTGTCTGTTTGTGACCAGTGGTAGGATATTGGTGTCTTAATGAAAGATTTCACTCAAGTTGTCATGGCAACACAAGTTTTTGAAAGGAGAATTGCTTGGTAGGTGAGTTTCTCCTGCCAGCCAGAGGTTTCTGTGCTGGATGAAGCTCTGTGCTGGATGAAGCTCTGTGTCAGCAGCATGAGCCATGGCATGTTGTTCTGGGCAGGGAGACAGGTGTGACCTGGAGAGTTGGGTCTGGAGCTGCCCAGGAACGTTGGAGCCCTGCTGTCCCTGTGGCTGGCATGTCCCCTCAGCAGCTACACAGGTTCTTTCTGTGAGTTGCTAACCCAGCAGCTGGAGAATTCCGTGGTGTGTTTTATCCAGTTGGAGAGGGAGTAAGAGTGCAGGGCTGTGGGATGAGCAAGGACTGACAGGGAAGTGGAAGGACCCCTTGCTGGAGCTAACCCCCAGGAGATGCAGGGGCAGTGCTGGGACAATGCCAGCTCCCAGCCCCTGCCACCCCCAGGCTGCTTGGACTGGGCAGGAATGGACAGGGAAGAGGAGGAGGAGGCAGCAAGAGATGCACCTGGGATAGATCCTGGAGTTCCCAGCCTGGGAACTCAGATACAGCTTCTGGAGGCTGGGCTGAAGGGTGGTGAGAGCACCTGTGCTCCAGGAGAGCCCAGTGCTGCCTTCAGTGCTTGCTGGGACTTACCTGGTGTGGTCGTTCGAAGTGTATCAGCAAGTAATTAACAGATAAAATAAACACAGTACCAGGAAGCTAAACATGATCTGTTGCGATGTGGGGCTAAGGGACCAGTGTAGCTTGAGCCCTGGCTCTCCAGCATGCTCATTATATTTGTATCAGCTTCTGTGCTCCAGGGGCTGCAAGAAATCATTCTGCTGTACATAATTTTAATTGCCTGTTATAAAATTTCTTCTTTTGCCATGGAGAGTTGGGTCTGGAGCTGCCCAGGAACGTTGGAGCCCTGCTGTCCCTGTGGCTGGCATGTCCCCTCAGCAGCTACACGGGTTCTTTCTGTGAGTTGCTAACCCAGCAGCTGGAGAATTCCGTGGTGTGTTTTATCCAGTTGGAGAGGGAGTAAGAGTGCAGGGCTGTGGGATGAGCAAGGACTGACAGGGAAGTGGAAGGACCCCTTGCTGGAGCCCCCAGGAGACCCCCAGGAGAGGCAAGGGCAGTGCTGGGAAAATGCCAGCTCCCAGCCCCTGCCACCCCCAGGCTGCTTGGACTGGGCAGGAATGGACAGGGAAGAGGAGGAGGAGGCAGCAAGAGATGCACCTGGGATAGATCCTGGAGTTCCCAGCCTGGGAACTCAGATACAGCTTCTGGAGGCTGGGCTGAAGGGTGGTGAGAGCACCTGTGCCCCAGGAGAGCCCAGTGCTGCCTTCAGTGCTTGCTGGGACTTACCTGGTGTGGTCGTTCAAAGTGTATCAGCAAGTAATTAACAGATAAAATAAACACAGTACCAGGAAGCTAAACATGATCTGTTGCGATGTGGGGCTAAGGGACCAGTGTAGCTTGAGCCCTGGCTCTCCAGCATGCTCATTATATTTGTATCAGCTTCTGTGCTCCAGGGGCTGCAAGAAATCATTCTGCTGTACATAATTTTAATTGCCTGTTATAAAATTTCTTCTTTTGCCATGCCTGTCAAATATATTCTCTGTTCAGAAGTGTAGCTGTGCCATGTGGCAGGACCTGTGTGCTAAATTACAATAAGAATAAACAAAATATTGCAGAAAATAATAAAACCAACATCTAATTATGAAAGACAATGGCATTCTCAATCGCTCTTGCCATCTGCAGCCTGTTGTGTTAGGCCCAGCACAAACAAATCAATAAACCTGCTGCTTTTCCTGTGTTGTCCTTGGCAGTTTTAAGTAGTTCATGCAGGGCTATGGGAGCATGCTTGTTTCTCTGGTCTGATGATGTGCTGTCCTCAGCCAAAGGTTTCAGCATTCCCTCTTTTTGGAGAATCGCTCTGGGGCTGGGATTTGAAACTCTGTACGTGGAGAATGGAGAAGGGGCAGCAATTAAAGGGTTAAAAAGCATTATCTGGGCTGCAGCTTTAACAACGAATTATGGAGGGCACGAAACTGAGTTTGGTAGGAGGTTCCTTGCCTGGAACACGCCTTGGCAGTAAACAGAGCTCTGATCTCAGAGGCAATAAGGCACCCGAGCCCTGGCAGTGCTGGGAGTGGTGGCTCCTGGAGACCCCTTGGCTGGACCCTGAGAGGGGTCTGTGGCGGGGGAGCAGCAGTGTGCCTCGGGGTGCTGCCACGCCAGCACGAGGAACCGGCTGACTCTGTCTGTGAGATTACAAAGAAAATACTCTCTTGTCTAAGTCTGACTTTCCTAGAGAGCAGAGGGGCAGCGGAGGATGCCGGGGAGATGAGCGGTGCCAGGGACCACAGCCGCTGTCAGAGGGCAGTTCGCATTGTCATCGAGCTCTGCCGGAAGAAAACCCTGCCTAACTTGGACCTGGACACTTGCAGGGAATTCCTCCTGCTGCCTTCTGACCAGAGCCTGATCATCTCCGAGCCAGGTACAGTTCCCTGGTCCTGCTGGAGCAGCGCGGTGCCTGCAGACACTGCAAGGGGAGGGAAATACTTGCAAGTGTTAGACTCGGGGGAGGGTGGGGTTTGGGGGGTGGTCTCTGCAGGCGTTGCTATGTGGTTATTTTCCTTCACACGTTCCACTGTGAAGTTTTGGGTGCAAGTGCTACCTCACCTGTTGATGAGAAGCGGTGCAGCCTGATGGGGACAACTGCGGAGAGGAGACAGGGACGTGCTGGTGAGGAGGTTGCTAATGAGATTAAGTTTAAAAACAGAGACTCGTGTTCTGTAAAAGCAAAAAAGCAGTGAAATTTCAATTTAAGTAACTGAGATGACAGGAACTGATTGCAGGTATCCCAGTTTGTGAAAAGGAAGGACTTGCATGGATTTTTATTAACCAATAAGAGATCTTAATCTACTTTCATGTATTTATTTTACTTGTTGGTTTGTAGAGCTTGAGAGACACACTGGTGTGTCAGCAATGAGTCAAAAGTGAGCACACTGCTCTAAAAGCAAAGGGGAGTTTCTTTATTGCAAAGGGATTATTTTTCTCTACACTTCTGCTTATAGCTTCTTGTTCCAGAGGGGTTGTCTTCTGCTGTAGCTTCAGAAGACATTGGTAGACTGAGATCATAGTCCAGGCTCATATGCTGAGGAGCAAAACCAAAATCCTATGCTTTTTGGCATGATTTATAACATGCTGTAAATTGTTTGTGTCTTAGAACATTTGAGAGTCCTTCTTTCAAGGGTTCTGTAGATAATGATCTACCAACCCAGCCTGATTTCACAGCCTAAGCTTCCAGAATCTTTCTTCTCTCCTCTGAGGACAGCTGTGCAGAGCCTGGGTGCAGCCAGGAGCCCATCAGTGTCACTCCAGCCCTTCCTGCCTCTGTCTGCCAGGTGTGCAAGGGCATCATTTCTGCCCTTTGCTTGTCTGCAGCTGTTCTTCTGCCCCAGGATGTCCACCCTAACACCTTCAGCTCATATCCTGCTCTGCTCATTATCGTCAGCTTAATTATAATCTGAAAATGTTTTTGCTTTGTGCCTGCTTCTTCTGAAGGCCTCTCACCACTGCTGGCACTGCCTTCTGCATTGCACCCGGTGCAGCTGGTTCTGTGCCCAGACACCTCTGAGGGCCCAACAGGCACTGATATTCCTCAAGTGCCTGGATATAAAACTTCTCCAGCAAGAAAAAAACATCTACCTGCATTAAGTGTTAATTAATGTGATAGGATATCTTTGCCATTACTGTCTGGATATTCATTTAATTATCTGTATTTGTGCTTTGTCCCTTTTACACTGAAGAGTCATGTTGAGTGAACTTGCTACCTGGAGTACTATGTTCAGGTCTGTGAGTCCTTCCTCATGAAGCCGCACAAATAGGAAGGGAGGTTGTGAAGATGAGCAGTGACACAGCTTGGGGGCAGGGTGCTGCATGGTTTGCAACGGGGAAGGCAGAGGAGCCGTGCAGGGTGCGTTTGGGGTTCTGCCCAGTGATGGACAGCCTCAGAAACCTGGATGCAAAGTTTGCTGGAGTAAAGCTGGCCCTATTTGTCAACACCATGTGAAGTCAATGGCTACTCTGTCCATTTTTTAACCTCCTAGATAAGTCTACTAGCTAATAACTAACTCATCTTGGCTTATCAAGTATCTCAATTATGTTTGCATCGCATGTGAGAGGGCAGGTGAAGGCACTCTAATGCTGCCAGCACTGGGAGCCAGGGCTGCTTCTGCCCAGCTGTGTGCCTTTGCAGCCTGAGAGGTGGTGTGGTATTTTCTGGTGTTTCATGTGTTTAGCAGTATCTTCTGGGCATGCCATGGAGCTGCCAAGAAATTAGCCAGGTATCACTAGTCTTCTTGAACTGCAGCTGACTGGAAAAAAGATGTGAATATAAAAGTGATACTGAATAGTTTATGTAAGAATGTGTCAGAATATTTTTTTTTTTATGCAGTGATTACCTTTTTAAGCCATTTTGAACTGATGGTGGAAAGTGCTCTGGCGTATGGAGTAGATGTTGCTCTGCTCTCTGTAGCTGAGGTTATGTAATTGCAGATTCTCCTGTTTAAAACCAATGACAGAAATAGAGCTGTACTGTTTCTCCAGAATGCCACACATGACTGCACACCCAACAAAGGTGCATTGCAAGATGCTGCTGGCTAGTAATCCAGCAGCTAAGTGTGTCAGAAAAATAAGGTATTTGGATGAGGAAGGTTTGGTAGTGATGCGTCAGTGGGTACCCGAGGGTGGGCTCCTGCCTGCAGCTTGGCCCGTGGCGGTGCCAGGAATAGAACTGATCTCTTGGCTGTGGGCCCTGAGATCGAGCAAAATGCAGCATCCTTTTGTTGTGCCTATCTGAAATCCTCCCCCGTTGCTCCCTCCATCTGATAGCTCTCTTCCCTGCCAGTGCTCAGCTGTTGTGCAGCGATGCTGTGAGCGTGATTAGTACACAGGCACAGGCTGGAGGCTCTGGAAGGACTTGTGACATGGGGACAACATTTAACACTGTGGGCTGTGCCTGAAACAAGTCTCTTCTCTGCCTGAGAGGTGCAGTGAGTGCTCCAGGACAGAGGTCTTGACAATGTGTGGACAAGCCTTGCTGAGGTGCTTGACTGGCCACTGGCTCCCACAAGTGCACAGCCAGGCCCTCCTCACCCCAACCTCTGCCAGGAAGAGCTGCTCCAGGAGCAGATCCAGGAGCACCAGGGAGCTGAGTTCCACTCCCCAGGGCCCTGTGGTGGAGCCAGCTCTCCCCACCTGCCCCTGACCAGAGCTGCTCCCAATGCCGGTGGTCCCTGCAGACTCCAGCCCATCCCTGCAGCATCCTTGGGACTTTCTTTAAGTAATCTTTCAGTAACATGTTTGGGTTTTTTTAAACTCAGTTTATTTATTTGCAAAAATCTTCACTGTCCTGTAGAATAGCTACAGACACAATGGATGATGTGCAAAGGTGTTGCAGCTTTCACCCAGTCATGACAGGATGGTAAGCAGCAGTTCCTGGTGATCTTGGCACACTGCATGGTGCCTCAAACCTTTCCCTGGGCACTGATCCACCTCACTAAAATGCCCTCATGCTTTCCTAGTGCAGGGTAGGAAAGCTGAAGTGAAAGGAAGAAAAAGGACAACTGGGGAAAATCCACAGCCAGAAGAGACCTTACAGTAATTTCTGTTTCCTAGCACGCTTTGTCAGCTATCCTTCTGTGCTCTAATCCTGCAATAATTCAGAGCACATTTAATGTTTTGCCCTATGTGTGAACTGTTCTTTTTAAACTTCATGGTGCAGGCAGTGCATCTTGTACAGCACTGAACAACCTCCCAGCACCTCACAAATACTATTAAAATGTTAAACACACAACTACATACATGATCTTCCAGTAGGCAGAAAAAAAAGGGTGAATTTTTTGTGCAATATGGTTTGGGTTTTTTTAATTGCAGGAACGTTGATGCAGAAAGATCACTTCTACATGGGGAAATTGCTTCTGGAGTATTTTTCTTGGAAAATAATTATCCCTTGATAGGATAGTTTGACTGATGGGGAAATTAATATGTCCATTCACTGGCAGGGTATGCCTATAGCCACTACCTAAGAAATACAAGCATCTTGAATTTACTTACCAGCTGTAATAGCACACTTTTCTGAATTGTTCAAGTGTATTTTAAGCAAATGTAACAGTAAGCATGTTTAAAGTAAGCCAGGCAAAGCTAATATTAATCACTGAAGCCTGCGTTTCCAGAGGCCAGGCACATAAGGAGTAGCACCTTGGAGCAAAGATCTTGCTTTTCATGGAGTAATGCATTTGCATTATGGATCATTCCTTGCTCTATGACTGTCTTGTCCACTGGCAGGAAAAGAGCCAGCTGGAGCTACAAGCAGCAGATTTGCTCTTTAGCTCAAGTAAAACAGGTTTGTGCTCTGATCCTGAAGGTGTCAGGTTCAAACCTTGTCTACCAGTTGAGAGTCTGCAAAAGGATTTTAAGTATAAGGTTAAAACCAGCAACATAAATCTGGGAAAAATACATTAGATAGGCTGTCTATGAACAGGTGTCTCTGCTTATCTGCTGTCTGTGGGTCTGTGACTCCGCAGCTGCCTCCGGCTATTCTTTGTGATGGTCCTGGTAATAGCATGCACCCAAGGAGCTGTGTGTGTGTGTCTGGGAGCTCTGCAAGTCCCTCTCTGCAAAGACGCAGGTTTGCATCTGCCTAATTGCAGTTGGTTGATTCATTCCTGAAGCAGTTCAGGGAGGCTGGTCATGTTTGTAGGTTTTTTTGCGGACCTCAGAGCCTGTTCCAGTGCAGCTGCAGTAGCCTCATGCATAGGCAAGGGATCAGCATCCAAACTCCATAGAAACAAGCAGAGAGATTGCTGCTGGTGTTAATTGGTGTGTGAGCAGGCTGAGGACAGTGACCGAGCTGAGGAGCAGATACTGCTTTGGTAAGTCCACATTTCTGAAGTTACTTTGTTAATTTTTTGCCTTTTTTCATGATGTGGAGCTTCTCTTCCTTAAAATTTTGATTCAGCAGTTTCTGTTTCTGGCACTGAAACATTTTCTTCTCCTTTCAGTATTCTCCCTGCGTTTCACTGAACCAAGCATGTGCTTCCAGCCAGTTCAAACCAGGGCAGAGCCCGACCCTGCTCTTCTCCATTGTTTTGCAGGGTGACTGAGAGCTGATATTTCTGTGTTTGCAGGTGTTTGTTGCTTGACATCTTTGCTGTGCAGAAGTCAAACCAGCGCAATGTGCACTGTCTGCTGCATGTTCCCTGTGCTCCCTAACAGCCTCATCTGTGCGTTCATTGTTCAGAGATAAAGACGGAACCGTAAATGGATCTCATGTCTGATACAATTTTTCATTTAACTGTAGTTTCAACTAGCCTTGCTTTTCTTACCTGTTTCTTCTTCTTACCATTCATGTTTCTAGGTACAACTGCGTATTCTTCCTTAGGACCCCAGCTGTCCATCTCATGTTGCTTAGAGAGCTTTTTATACCTTTAA